TTAAGTTCTAAACGAACTTGGATGGCTAAAATCCACTATACGTCATGGCAAAGCCGTGAGTTAGTCCGTCTTGTCATCCCTCTTTTGAAAAGATATTATGGGCCCAAATTTGAGCTCGAACATCGAATCTACAATTTATTGTTTTTCCTTTTTGGTTCAACTGTTCATTAATCCACTTGACAATGTGTTCTACATCTTTATGAACACATTATTAGGTTAAGTCATTTTTCTTAATTTTGTCTTGACATCTTTGTATATTCTTTCGTTGCCTATTCCCTCCTAACGTGCAGATTTCATTGTCATTATCTTTTCCACTTTTAGCTTTCTGTACTTGCTGGATATTCTAATTATGAACTGGTGTTTAAACCATCGGTTTTTTCTTTATGGGTATAACATAGCCCCTCATCACTTTCAAGATTGGGGATGAAATCGTTAATGAACACGTGACTTTGATTTTTGATGTAGTCTGATCCTACAACTAAATAAGGGGGTCAAGCCTTATTATCTTTTAATTATTTTCTTGCTTTTTAAGTCATCAGGGGACATTTAGTCTTTAATTAGTACTAAAACTTTTTAATTTAATTCATTATCTAGATTTTAGTCATTATCTATAATATAGACATTATCTAGATTTTCGTTATTATCTCTTTCTTGCTTTAAATAAGAGATGTAAGCCTTAATGGCGAAAAGTTGTTTTTTGAATTGAAATATTAATTGTTGAGATTTTCTTCATTTTTTCATAAATTCTCGGTATTTGATATTTAAAACAATGAGTTTAAAATCTCTTTTTTTCATGCGTGAATCAGAGAGTTTGATGCCTATATTTCTAATATTTTTAGGAAACAACATAAACTAGAGGGTAACTGTATTGTAGTATTACTTCGAAAATAACGAAATTTTGATAACATGTTATTTCATTATTTTTATGGTTTCTGCCATCCTACATCAAAATTTCTACCCCAAGTTTTGCAGCCAAATGTTGTAACAGCCCTACATGAGACGGATCAAATTTTACACCATTCATGAACAATCTCAATAGCCCAACCATGTCATACCTTGACGTCTGTACTACTACCTACGACAAGGACGGATTTACACAGTCATGTGGAATTAGCTGATCCCGTAGAAAAATTTGAGTTTTTGTTTCTTAAATTTTTTATTTTTTCACTTTTCTCTATTTGCATGACCTTTTTTTTTTTTCCCACTTTTTACATGTTAACCTCTCTCAAGCCCCCATTCTTATTCTTCTCTCAATACCTAGGTCTACCATTTTTACAAACTAATTGTACTTTCCTACTCAAGTCATTTGCATCGCTGCCAACAATCGACCATGTTTTCTCTCCACCTCAAGACGAGACTCCTCAAGGCCTCAATCTATAGTTTGAACCATGCAATTGAATTGGAGATTCAAGGGTTGAACGATAGTTTAATTATGTATTTTGAGGAAGATGTATTCAACAATATTGATAACAATATAATTATATGATGATTTCAAAGTATGAAGACGTGTATACAACATATTTAATAATACGTTATTTTCACTCATAAATTATCAAATGTTTAGGTAACAACTAAATAGTTAGTCACACCATTAACTACCCCAACAACAAAACATGAAAAATCACCACCACTCCAAGCACACCAAACCCAAAACCACGTACACATGCCACTACGATCACAGATCCGCGCAGTACCGTCGTGCACTAGATCCTGTTGAGCAGTAATGATGAGTGGATGAACAGTAGATCTCAGAACCAGTGCCGCCATGCACCAGATAGCCTCTGTGCGTGACAGCTCCATGAACGTGCAACAATGGTTTTCCCATCATCGT